GATCTAACTCTAGAACGGTAAGTTGGACCGCAAGTAAGTTGAAGTAGACGACCTCTTAAGCACCATCGAAATTTTTCGGAAAATTTAAGAAACCTGCAGTTTGATAATTGGGTTTTCCGCAATAATTTAAATGAAAATACAGATTAGGAAAATCTACAGATATAAGCCAACAACACTTCTAAATACAGTAAAATAAAAATTTATTTAGCATTTATTAAAGTATATTCCACTGCAGGTCCTAATTTCCCGCCCACAAAACCCGATAAACACCGTTTTCGTAGGAAAACATGCAGGTTGTATGGATAAATGAATGGGGCTGCATAAGCTACTGTTGCCTCATTTTTTCATGGTAACCTTCGTCATCAGAGCAGTGCGTTTTAACTTGATTGGGGAGGCTATAGACAGAATTCACTTTGTGAAGGGCTGGGTGGTTGATCCTTGAATGAATATGTTCATTTATGGTGAAGAGATTTACGGAATAATCCATCAGTCTTTCGATGTGCAAGGGCATTTAGAAATGGGAGTGGTCCGTTAATTTACGTTCCGAATGTATATTCACTTCCTCGAAATGTGGTATTGGGATTCTTGTGGATGAGATCTAAGTCCTTATTCTTGATGATGACAAATGTATCATATACAGGTTGTCCCAAAAAATGTATACATATTTTAAATAATTGTAACCGTGGTTTTTGTTATAATTTTATTATTTCGAGAATCTAAAAATACTCACAAGTACCATCTTTTGTTTTTTCACTGCATTTTGACTATTGCAACAGCGACTGGATCGGGAGAAGCCATCGAACATGAATGCACCCGCATACCAAGGGAATTGTTTCATGGTGTTTGCGATTCCATTGCTTCGCGTTGTCAGCAATGTCATGATTAAAATGGGCGTCAGTTTGAGAAAATTAAGTGAAAAAAAAACAATAAAATGATACTTGCAAAAAATTTTTTCCATTGTTTTTATAATAAGATTATGATAAATAACAGTTTTACAATTAAGTAAAATGTGTATACATTTTATAGGACACCCTGCATATAGCGCAGCTAGGATTTTGGTTTGGTTGTGGGGAGAGGTATTGGTTTTATTTTTGGCATTACAGCTTCGGCCAGAAAGCCGGATACGCTATCGAAAACACTTACCTGGTCTATCCTTACCTTCACCATGCAAGACTGGCTGGTTTGAGAAAAAACAGCCAAACTTTCGCTGCTGGGAATATTTGTGACATGGCTTGGTTAAGGCGCTTGCTTAGGAATTCACTGGATGCATCCCCTTGAAAGGAGACTTTGAGGAACGGCGTCGTCTTTTCCACGGTGGGTGTGTTGTGTTTGGTTTCTCCTTCCATCATGTTCTTTTGGATGAATCTGTCAGGATGCCCATTTTCCCGAAGCAGGTCTTGGACTCTCGTGAGCTCTATCTCAAATGCGCCTGCCAAGCAGATTTTTTCTAGCCCTTTGCTTTAAGCAGCGGATTAAATTGCGCTTCTGTTGGATGGGTACGAAGCTGTTAAAGTTCGTATACTGTCCGAACCAGGTTTTCTTTCGATAAACGTTCCTTCAGACGCTACCTTCAGGTCTTCTGCTTAGGAGGACGTCCAAGAAAGAAGCGAACCTGCCGTTTCCACCTCCAATGTGAAGTTAATAGAGGGGTATGCCTGGTTGACAGTAGTTAGAAGTGCATCTACATCGGCTTC